CCCATGACCTCATTTGACTCAACCTGTGCTGTGTTTTCAGGGAGAGAAACGCTCTCAAGAATTTGGCTTTGAACCTGTCCCTCATAGGCAGCTCCTGCTAAGGTTCCTAGGAATGGGGCAGTGTCTTCAGAGGATTTCTGGTCCTCGGTATTCTCACCAGCAGGGAATACCTCTATGTCCACACAGTCCTTCACTATGTCCTCTGTGTGTTATTCTTTCTCAGTATTGTGCAAGATTTCTCTTTTCCCCACATTCGCCACGATTTCATTTTTCACCTCCACTTCACTGGCTCTTCCTAGGGTCCCATCCCCTGTCGACTTGAGGGCATTTAACCCTTCTTTCGTCATCTTGGTAGGACCTTGGTATCCAACATTATTGAGAGTGTTGGAAGTCTCTCCATTGGTAGCTATTTCTGATTTTAGGATTATTCCATGTTTCTCGAGCATTTCCTCTCTTTGCTTCAGGGCCTGCTTGACTTCAGCAAACTGAAATTGCAGTATACTGTGGACATGTTTTTCCCTTTCAAATTCTTTTTCTCTTTGTACTGCTGCCTAGATTCAGTCAGCTGTTCTTCAAGCTCCAGCAACGTATCTTTCAAGGTATCAACCCGGTACATGAAGTTTGTCTTTTCATTGTCTAGCTGAGCATTGGAAACCATAGCCGCCTTATATTTCTCTTTAACTTCTGCTAGGGAGTTCTTTATTTCCCTGATGGACGCCTTAGTGTGGATGGAGATGGAGGTGTCTCCAGCTGCCTCTCCGAGAGGAACTCCCAACCAGAGAGGCCAGCGTGGCTGCAGACAAGCCTGGCATGTTACCAGACCCCTTCTCAGTAAAATCTTTTTCTGGGTCCCTCTTCTACCTCCTTCTGCTGCCCCTCCAGCTCCTTCATGCGGATCTCACGAGCCTCTGCCCGGGCGAGCCGGGCCTCCGCCAGCCTCTGCGCTTCCGGTCTCAAACAGTCCATCTCCTGGCTCTGCGCAGCTGCAGGGCTGGTCATCCTGCTGGGCTCGGCCAGCTCCACCCAGCGGGAAACTCTCGGGGACCCCGCCGGGAGCCCCTCGCGGGCCGGGCCTGGGGGCGCGCGCTCTGTCCGCGTAGACGGGGCCACTCGCCGCGAAGTGAACGCTCGCGCTTCCGGGGCCAGGGGCCAGCCTGCCGGGGAGCGGCTCGCGAGACTGGGCTCGGGCTTGGAATCGGCCAGCAGGGGCGGGGCGCAGGTGGCCGCGGGCTGAGCCGGCCGGGGGTGGAAGGGCACCGGGGAAGCCGAGCTCGGGCGCCTCCGCTCGCCCCATGACCCGCGCCGCCCCGCCGCCCACTTGCAATTTTTTTACTTTACTGTGGTGTGAAAGCAATAGGCATTCAGTAGAAACTGTACCTCAAATTTTGAATTTGCATTATTTCCTGGACTAGCGATATGCAGTACCCTACTCTCTTGAGATGCTGGGCAGTGGTAGCCAGCCACAGTTCCCAGTCTGCCACACAATCATGAGGGTAAATAGATAATACTCTTAAGTTTTCAACTTCCAGTATTTTCAACTTATGACGGATTTTTCAGGATGTAATCCCACTGTAAATGGAGGACTATATGTATGTTTTTACAAAAGATCATCTAAAACACAGATACATAAAGGGTGAAATTTATGGGCAAAATGTAACAGAAAGCAAACATGAATGTTAAGAATTAAAAGCTTTACTAGAAATTTAAGTATCAGGGTTTTCACACTGATCAAAGGTTCAATTCACACGGAAGATATAACAATGCTAATTTGTATGTACCTTAATAGCATTGTTTCACTGATCAAACTACAAGAAAGAAATAGACAAAATCCACTATCAGATTATGAGGTACTTTTATACACTCCCTCAGTAATTTAGATAGCTCAACCTGAACAAATCAGTAGGGTAATAGATTTAAGTAAATCAATTAACAAGTTTTATCTAAATGATAAATATAGAACACTGACTCCTATAGAATATATATTATTCTCAAGCATGTATGGAACATTTATGAGACCTGACTACAAACTTAGCCACAAAGAATTCCTCAACAAATATCAAATGATTCATGAAAGTGATATATTTTTATATGCTCATTGTGTGAAACTTGAAAAATCCAAAAACCATAGAGAAGAGAACAAAAATTCACCCACAGTTCTAACACTTAAAGGTAAGTATTGTGCACTTGGTTGCTGGGTTAATCACCTCATGCTCTATATTAGGTTTTTGTTTTCTGGGTTTTTGTTTTGTTTGAGATGGAGTCTCATTCTGTCATCTACGCTGGAGTGCAGTGGTGTGACCTCAGCTCACTACAACCTCTGCTTCCCGGGTTCAAGCAATGCTCCTGCCTCAGCCTCCCAAGTAGCTGGGATTGCAGGTGCCTGCTACCACGCCCAGCTAATTATTTTATTTTTAGTAGAAATGGGGGTTTCACCATGTTGGCCAGGCTGGTCTCAAAATCTTGACTTCAAGTGATCCACCTGCCTTGGCCTCCCAAAGTGCTGGGATTATAGGCATAATCCACCGCACCCCGCCTATATTATTTTAAACAGAATGAGATCACATTAGATATGATTTGAGATTTTTTTTGTTAATCTTATCTTTTTCACTTAACATAATAAGCACTTTCACATATCATTAACAATTCTTTGTAATCCCATTGGCTACATAATGTTCCATTAATTAGATATGCCATATTTCCTTAACCCTTTCCTTATTATTGAATATTATTGGATTGTTTCCAGTTTTCTCAGACCATAAACAGCCTTGTAATTAACTTTGTTGTATTTACAAGCATCTTTCATTCGAGGACCTCAAAGCACTTAGGTATGATTTAGTTTGCTTTCTAGTCAGAAGATGGATAAAAAGCATACTGATTCCTTTTTCTGCCAGTAATACATGTCCACTTCTAACCAGTGTATTACCTTGAGCTGTTTTATTCATAATCAAGGCAATATCTACCACTTTCTGTTTCTTCACTGCAGGTAGGACTGACTTTCCCACCCAGCCCAAGTAGGACACATAGCTACAGGCAGCTTCTGGCTTAGCCTGAGGCAAACTCAATTACAAACAGCCTGAACACACTCACCTGGGTGTGATCCCCACAGAAGCCAGCAGCCTCTCCCTCCAGCACTGAAACTTGTGCAAGAAGTATTCCTTAGAAAGATGCTGTGGCTCATCAAAACTTTGTAATTCATCTAACATTCATTTCACTGATGTATGTGAAATGAATTCCTAAACATGAAGTACATTATATTAGTATTTCCCTGTAATTTGTTTTGGTTACAGAGGAGACCCTTGGTAATTATTTTTACTCTTCTATTTTTTAATTACAACATTATTTAACAACTTATTTTGAAACAGCATATAAGGTTAAGTCAACATAGTTCATCAAGTTCAGCAAGAGGAAATAGCAATAATTCAGTTGTGCATTTCAGAAATGAAAATGGGATATACTAGGTTGCTTTGATGACAACACAACTGCCTTTATATCTAGTTAATTGTGTGACGAATGGGACACTAAAACTTATTTGCTTGCATGTTTGTATTTGATCTTTTGCCATACAGTGATTCATTTTAATTGTCTGTTCACAAAAGAATTGGTTCAGGTCTAGCAGAGAAGAACGCCTTTCTTTCCTCTGCAGTCTGTCTGGTCCTTCCTCCCTGAACCCCCATCCTATCCAAACTCCTGTATCTCACTCTCCTCATGCAGTCTCTCAAACACCCCTGAGTACAGTTAAATGATAATGGAAGTGAGTAACATGATGACCATTACCATCTTTAATGTTTTCCAATTCTCAGCTCCCAACTCCACTAGAGCCAATAATAAATCATGCATATTTCCAGACAGTGAGTGAACCTGGCTGTGAAATGTACCCCTCCCAAAAAATTTTTGCTTGTTTGTTTGAGACAGAGTTTGGCTCTTGTCACCCAGGCTGGAGTGCAATGGCACGATCTCTGCTCACTGCAACCTCTGCCTCCCGGGTTCAAGCAATTATCCAGCCTCAGCCTCTTGAGTAGCTGGGATTACAGGCGCGCCACCACCATGCCCAGTTAATTTTTGTATTTTTAGTAGAGATTGGGGTTTCACCATGTTGGCCAGGCTGGTCTCAAACTCCTGACCTCAGGTGATCCACTCACCTCGGCCTCCCAAAGTGCTGGGATTACAGGTGTGAGCCACCGCACCCAGCCCAAAAGATTTTAATATCCCATTTGTCCAACACCCTCAGGCATCACTCTTCTCTCCATTTTGGTTCCCACATTGACTGCCCCATGCCCCAATCCTGGGGCAGGCAAAAGGGGTGCAGCTCACTAGAGGCTTTCAGCTCCTCTGGTTTGCATTTCACTGGGGAGAAAATGGGTCCTGAAGATAATCTCTTACTTTCCCATTTAAGGAGAAGAGTAGGGTGGGTAATAACAATAGCTAAAAGGCTAGAGTTTAAAGAGGTGTAGAGCATATACGTGGTATAACAGTATAGTTTAGAGAGGATGTGGTATACTGTGCTGAGGCATGCAGGAGCTCTTACTATCTGCATTTCACAGATAAGGAGATGAGGCAAACAGAAGTTAAGTGACTTGCCCAATCATATGGCTGATTAAGTGGTGAGCTGGGTTTGAATCCAAGGGCTGTGACTCCAAGGCTTCACCAATGGGACCGAATGCTGGTGTAATTTCTTCATTCCTCATTCAACCAAGATACAATTATTGAGCACCAACTATGGGCTAGGCTATGATCTAGTGCTGGGGAGCCACAGGTGAGTTTCAAAGGTCTCCAGTCTCCAAGAACTGGCAACCTGGAGGACAGAGCCAACAGGAAAGGCTGCAGCCCCGTGATGTGAGTGCTGCTGGGGAAGCCTCCTGGGTACCCTGGGAGGCATGGCAAGTGGGCATCCTCAGAGAACAAGGAAACACTCACTCCCCAAGCTCGAGATGTCCCCTCTTCTTCCAATTGCTTATTCAGCCCGATTCCCACTACCGGCCGAGCTTCTGGAGGTAACTTACCTCCCCTGGCGCCTCCGGCTGCCCTGGAGTGTGATTTGCACGGGGATGCTGAAGGGCGGCATGAGGCCAGGGGCCTAAGGAAATGACCTCCTTTCACCTGAGTCATGCCCCTGCGGGCGCGGGAAAGGTGAAGCTTAGGCATCCACGGAAGCCGAGTTCCAGCGGGAGCCCCCAGCCCCCAGCGCGGATGCAGCCATGAGAAGCCCCGAGCCTCCGGCGCTGCCGCCTGCTGCGCCTTCCTGGAGAGGGAGTAACTCCGGGGAGGCCAGCCGCGTGGTTCTGCAGACTCCTGGCAAGGCGGAGCCGTCAGTTCTAGACGATCAAGAAGGACCTGCGTGATTTGCTGCAGCCAAAGCTCCTTCTCTCTCTTTACCCTGTGCTTGCCGCCACCTTATCACTTGTGTTTCCGCTTCGGCAGCCAGGAGCATCGCCACAGAGACCTCAACGCTTGTGGAAAGTTCTGAGGCCCAAGGGACACTCTATAATTGGTGAGGGACATACTCAGTTCAAGGTTTATAAGAAGAGGAAATGTTTTGCCCTGGCCGCGTTTCCTTTTCCACGTATTGTCTGTTAGAGTGCAAGCTGAAATAATGAGTTTTCTAGTTAATGGCATGTTCCAATTGAGAGAATTCGCTTTTAAACCGTATGTGATTTCCCAATTTTTCACGATACAGGGCCATAAAATAACTCGCCATTAAAACTATCCCAAATTGAAAAAAGCTATATCAAATATTATTTTATCTTTCTCTGATGACCTAAAAGACATTCGAAGATCTTTCCACACTCCCAAATTAGGAACATCAATTACCATTATATTATTGTACCTCACATTGCTACAGGCACCTGTAGATGTGGATGATAGAATGCCAAATAGACCACATTTGCTGTGTGTTTTTCAGTCAAGGCGATATTATCTTAACGTCTTCCAAGATGGTGTGGGCAAGAATGTAAGCATAATCTTATCTATAAATATCCATGTACATATAGCTATATAAACTCTTACTTGCAGCCATTTTAATATTGCTTAATAAAAATATATACTTAATACACTTTTCATTTGTATTATTTTTCTATTTCTATCTTATAAAATATTTTTTTGGGTTTTCTTGAGATGGAGTCTCCCTCTGTCATCCAGGCTGGAGTGCAGTGGCTCAGTCTCGGCTTACTGCAACCTCTACCTCCTGGGTTCAAGCTATTCTCCTGCCTCAGCCTCCCGAGTAGCTGGGATTACAGGCATGTGCCACCACAACTGGCTAATTTTTATATTTTTAGTAAAGACAGGGTTTCACCATGTTGACCAGGCTGGTCTCGAACTCCTGACCTCAAGTGATCTGCCTGCCTCAGCCTCCCAAAGTGCTAGGATTATAGGTGTAAGCCACTGCACCCAGTCCAAAATATTTGTTTTTAGTGAACAGATGCAATTTGGAATTTTAAAAAAGGTAACAACTGGAATTTCTTCCTTCTGCCTCCTTCCAACTTAACCTCATATATATGAGATAGCTTTTCCTTTTCAGACTTAGATGTGCTAATAAATTTCCCCTGCAACTTGGTAACTCTCTTTGAAGAAGTGTGTGATTTGCTGCTGCTTTTATGCATTTAATTCAACCTCAGAAATATGATCATTTTTTAGTCCATGAGACTCCTGTCACACAAAACTTGCACCTGCCTTTACCAGAGCCTCATGGTCATTCTTACCTTATGATTCTGGTTCCATTTAAAAGAAAATACTCATGGACAATAAGTGAGAAGGAGCAACATAGCTTTTTGCCCTTTGAACTTTTTCCCTAGCGCTCCTTCACTTGATAACCAACTGGCCTTTCTGTCCGCCAAACACCACACTCACTCCACTCTTGGCCTGAAAGCCAAGCCCCCTACACACACGTACTGCATTCAAGACTCACAGCCTCTCTCTCAAGAATAACCTAAAGTGGTCGGTGTGAGTTGCAATCCCAATGTGTGCATTCAGGAACACAGCAAGGCTAAGCCACTTAGAATGCAGAGATAAGAGATGCCAGGCACTGTACCTCTGGTCTCCCGGACCCTCCCTCAGCTTACTTCTTCCTCTGAGTCACTAAGGATCACTTCCTGCTCCATAAAACAGCAACCATGAATTAACTGTCAAGCTCACAACATGGGCCCCTTCTCAATCTGACCCAGAGGCTTTGACACTGGGTTCAAATTCTAGCTTTGTAACTGCAAGGAACCCTTTAAAAACTTCCTGCCCTGCTTTTCCAGAGCAAAAAGGAAGTAAATAAAAATCCAGTGTGAGTTGCAGGAGCATGGAAAAACTTAGTGTCTACAAACTGTTATGAGATCTATATATGAAAGAGGCTATTACTGCAAAATGCTGGTATCATGGGTTCCAGGTTCCAGAGTCCACAATCATTTCTTTTGCATTAATAGATGCTTTACTTAAGGGAAAAAAAAGAACCCTCTTTGCCTTTCACCATACTGGAAAAAATACTTCCTCATTCTTTTTCACGTTCTCTCAATTAAATATACAATACCTATTATGGCTAAAAATTCTTTTCTAGCTGAAATTCTCCATGTTCATGAAAACTATGCCTGTGTCTTCCAATTTAGAGATGCACAAATCATTGACAACAACCTAAAATTATACAACAGCCTGTTCTTTGCGTGACTATCTATATTTGTGCATGGGAGAATAAATAAACCCCTAACTGGACAGTCATTCCAATATGGGGAATTTTTGCCGACGTGAGCAAGAATTCAAACTGTCAAAAGTAAAGTCACATCTGATCTTACATTCTCTTTGCAGGAAAACAAACAACAAGGAAGTACGATCTGGGCCACAAACTTCTGAAGCATTCGATGGGATCTTTCCTTTACCTTGATTATTATCTCCAGCCATCTTGCTAATCAAATGGGCACCTGACTGCCTGAACTAGGCTTACATCAGAAAAACCAGCATCACCTCTGTGCAGGTGCTTTTCCTGCTCTGAGTGATAATACTAATGACTACTATTTATGAGCCAGTTACAGTTCTAAGTCTATACATATGTTAACTCACTTTTTGGGCTTTTGCAAGAGCAGAGAGCTACACTGACTTAAACAAGCTCACAAGAGCCAGAGAACTGGGCCTATCCTGGCACATAAACAATTTGATGGATAGTGAGGTAGAAACTAATAGAAATAATAGCTGAAATTCTTCGACAGTTCAACAGCCCTCAGTATTTCGTCCTGTTTGAAATCCACTGTGATCGAGTCTTTACCAGGTGGCACTTGACACAGACACATTTCATATTGTAAGTTGAGGTAATTTTTCTACTACATGAGTGGTTCTTGAACTCAAGTGTGATCCTCTGTTAAATACAGATTCCCAGGTCCCATCTCTAGAGATTCTGATAAAACAATTAGGATGACGGAATTTGCATTTTAAAAAGCCCTTCATATGATCCTAATACAGGTGGCCCTACATTTATACTTTGGGAGATATCAGGTCACATTATGCAGGAAATAGGCCTTGGAGGCCTGGGCTTAGGAACCTAAGAACCATTTCTAGTCTCAGGTTATGCTGCCTCCTTGGAACTCAGCTTATTTCTCTGTGCAGTGTGGGAGTTGGAGCAGGTGATTTAATGTGCTGTTAAGATCTGCCGATAAGCCAGGCGTGGTGGCTCATCCCAGCACTTTGGGAAGCTGAGGCAGGTAGATCACCTGAAGTCAGGAGTTCGAGACCAGCCTTACCAACATGGTGAAACCCCGTCTCTACTAAAACTACAAAATTAGCTGGGCATGGTGGCGCATGCCTGTCATTCCAGATACTTGGGAGGTTGAGGCAGGAGAATTGCTTGAACCCAGGAGGTGGAGGTTGCAGTGAACCAAGATCAGATCCCACCATTGCACTCTAGCCTGGGCAACAAGAGCGAAACTCCATCTCAAAAAAGCAAAACAAAACAAAAAAAGACCTGCCTTTAAGATCCAATAAAGTGTATGAAACCATAAGTTTGCTTGCAGGAAGCAGGTATCTTCTCTCTGGCGTGACAATAATGCAGGGATTCCCCCATCAGCTGCTGAGAGGCAGCACTCACCTAGAAAGAAGAGAATCCAACCACTGCACACCCAACCGAACTTCCCCTAGACACATAATGATAACTTGGGTACCCTAAGTAACCATGTGCCAGGGATTGTGCTCAGTGCTATGGGAACATAGTGTCCTTCAGACACAGGACTTGAGGAGGTAGGAACTTTTTGCTCCTTCAGCAGATGAGGACACAGAAGACCAGAGGGTCTAAGGAACTTGTGCAAAAATCACAAAGTAACAAAAGCTAGTTCTGGGGCTCCAGAACAGATCAAATTCAAAAGTCCATGCTTCTACTGACAATAGTCGACCTCCTCGCACAGGAGGAGCTTGGGCTTATTCTTATAGGTGTCTTATTGTCAAGGCTTGAAAGAGCCTTAGTCCTTTGCCCCAGGAGTGTTGCTGGCCAAGTTGTTATACAGACAGGATGTTCATGGCTTTTTATAAGTCTGCATGTCTTGATCACTTTTAGATAAATTCTGTTCTGGATTTGATGAAGCCCCCATTCTTGGCAAGTGACATCTGGTCATGAATTTTGATGCATTCCTAAACGTTATAGAATAACCCCCATTAATTAGAATGCAAATAACCTGAATTCTTAATCAATTAGAAGTTATTTTTTTTTGTTTTTTTCTGTTTCTCTTTCTAAGGAGAAAAAGACAAGGAATAGAAAAATAAATCTATATCCAGTGCTTAATTTTTATTTTATTTTATTTTATTTTTTTGGTATGTGTGACAGAGTCTCACTCTGTCACCCAGGCTGGAGTGCAGTGGTGCGATCTCAGCTCACTGCAAGCTCCGCCTCCCAGGTTCACACCATTTTCCTGCCTCAGCCTCCCGAGTAGCTGGGACTACAGGTGCCCACCACCACGTCCGGCTAAGTTTTTGTATTTGTTTAGTAGAGACAGGGTTTCACCATATTAGCCAGGATGGTCTTGATCTCCTGACCTCGTGATCTGCCCACCTTGGCCTCCCAAAGTGCTGGGATTACAGGCGTGAGCCACCGCACCCGGCCCAAAAAGTTTTAATATCCCATTTGTCCAGCACCCTCAGGCTTCACTCTTCTCTCCATTTTGGTTCCCACATTGACTGCCCCATGCCCCAACCCCGGGACAGTGCTTAATTTTTAAAAATAAAATCCCAGGCCAGGTACAGGGGCTCAGTCTTGTAATCCCAACATTTTGGGAGCCTGAGGCAGGTGGATCACTTGAGGCCAAGAGTCTGAGACCAGCCTGGCCAACATGGCAAAACCCTGTCTCTACTAAAAATACAAAAATTAGCTAGGTGTGGTGGCACATACCTGTAGTCCCAGCTACTTGGGAGGCTGAGGCACAAGAATCACTTGAACCCAGGAGGTGGAGATTGCAGTGAGGCAAGATAGCGCCACTGCGTTCCAGCCTGGATGACAGAATGAAGCCCTGTCGCAAAAATA